ACCCCGACCTGCCCTCCCTACCGTCCTCACCGCCCACTCAGGCGACCAAATCCGCTTCGTCAAAGCCCCGCCGCAAGACCACTCGCTCGCAGGCGTCGCGCTTGGCGAACACACGGACTTTGGCAGCGTGACGGTGCTGTTCAATCGGCTTGGGGGCTTGCAGGTTAAACTGCCTGATGGCGTCGAGCCCGTGCCTCCAGCCTCCACCACACCTGCACCCACAGCCATTGAAAACGACTTGTGCAAAAATGGATGGACGTATATCCGCCCCCTGCCCGAGCACGCTATAATCAACCTTGGCGATGCGCTTGTCAAGTTCTCCAAGGGGATCCTGCGGAGTAATGTGCATCGCGTGGTGGCGCCGCCTGGGATGCAGGGGCAAGAGACGAGGTGGAGTTTGGTGTATTTTTGTCGGCCGGCGGATCAGGTCGTGCTGAGGAGTTTGGTGGGTGGGGAGGAGGACGAGGAAGAGGAAGAGGTTACGGCGAAGGAGTGGGTGTTGAGAAGGGCGTTGGGGAGGAGGAGGGTTGGGGGTTGGGAGGAGAGTTTGGGGACGGAGAGGGGGATGAGGGTTTGAAATAAGGTGTGTGGATGTTATGGGGTGGAAAGTTTTTGGGCATTCTTGTTTTAGTTGTGAGTGACATTGATTTGACCTTTTAATGGAACGTATTTGTATGATGTTTAATGTTTCTCCTTGTTCATGCTCATGTATATATATTCGCTTCTGCCATAGCTGAACTGTTGAGGTTATTCTCACAACACTGGTGGTGTTGGAAGAAAACTGCGAAAGAAGACTTGATCTGGGTGTAGCAAAGTAAAAGGATAAAAAGATCAAAACTGGTCAGTCACTGAAACTATCCCGACATCGTTGGTTGTCGTAGGCGTAGCTTCACGTAGAAGTCCGACTGCTTCACAAACCAAGCATTGTGTAGTGACCACTCCTTCTCCGGATAGGGCCAACTCAATCTACATCGCCAAAATCAGTAACCGAAACAATCACACATCTCGTATCCAACTTACATCAAACTCGCGCAACAACGGCTGGTACCAGCTTATACATCTTCCAGGTAGCTGATATTCTTCCCAAGACACGTCCGCGCCCCAGCGCCAAAGCTAAAGAGACTATTCTTCATCTCCGACTTGTGAACACTGCTAGCATCGATCCAGCGCTCTGGTATCCATTCTTTGGGCTTTGGGCCCCAGATCTGCTCGTCGAGATGCAAGACCCATGCATTGCAGCCGATATTAGTACCGCCTGGAATCACAACACCGTCATGTTGCAGCCCACCAACGGGTGTGATTCTCTCCAGAGCTAGTCCGGCTGCGGGATGTGTCCGCAGTGACTCGTTGATCACGGCGCTGAGGTAGGGTAACTCGCGGACCTCGTCCCAAGCAAAGAGTCCATCTCCTTGGTTTACGCCGCGTTTGCTGACGACGTGATCGAGCTCGGCATGTAGCTTTGCGAGCTTGTCTGGATTCCGGATCAGGTTGTAGAAGATGGCGCGTAGGGATATACCGGTCGTGTCGGAGCCAGCTATCATGTTGGCGGTTGTGAGTGCAACGACGCGTTCGCGAGTGATGAAGCGCGGGTCTTTGTCGTGGGCTTCTTGGAAGCGAGAGAGGAAGTCTCGACGAGTGGTTTCCATTATCTTTCCGGTATTTGTCGTAGTCTTGGTCTCGGACATGCATTTGAGTGCGAATTGGACGGCTGGAGACCCACCGAGGAGGCCATGGGCGCTCATCCATCGCCGAATTGGGTTCTTGAGGAAGAGTTTGTCTAGCCATGGTACTTGACCGGCCTTGATGGAAGTTAGCGAGCTCATTAGCTAGATTGTTAGAGTGGGGCTTACTGTAGCAGAATAGTTGAGCATCCACTGAAGGTTGGAGATGATATTTCCAACATCCTCTCCACGTTCGACGAAGCCCATGCGTTTCGAGAATGTAAGCTCGCAAATGACATCGAACGCGAAAAGCTGCAACCATTTACCAAAATCGAGTATCTTGTCAGCATTCTCGTCATCAACGTAGCGTTCGTGCAATTGCTTTATGAACTCTCGAATTGTTGAGTTAACGAACGGCTCGAACTGCACCAAGGAGCTCATCGCATATGCGTTGCTAGTCGCTCGTCGCAGCTTTGTATGGAGCACTTCGTCCGTAGCAGTGAATAGTGTTTGTAGTGGCACTCCTTTTGCTATAGCTTGTTGCATCAGGTAGAAATCGGACTGATATCAACTTTCAGGATCCACAAAAGCAATTGGACATGCCTGACTCACTTTGACATACCCAGCATTCAACGCATAGATCTTCTTAGCCGCCTTGTTGTCTGAACATATTACTGTCCTCGGTCCGATTCTCACAAATGGACCATACTGCTGATGCAAACGAATGTGCCATTGCTCTGGTCGACGTTGCCATACTACGAATAATCGGTAGAACTCTGTGAAGCTCGCCCAGAATGGACCTGGGACATGATTCAGCCCGGTGCCAAATTTGTTGTGCAATAAGTGGGCAGTCAATCCTGCGAGGCCAATCCCGATTAGTATCAGGGGCGACATGCTGTCGAG